AATAAATGAAGTCACGAAACCAGCTGGCAGATTCATCTCTGGCAATCTTCGTGATGGCTCGGGCGTAGTTTATCGATGTCCTCCGTATCCCAGGCAGGATCCGCTTCTCTTTCATTTTTCGTATTCTGATTTCGATCAAGGGGTCTCAATATACGGGTAAACATACACACGCATACATATATACACGTATCTCGATGAAAGAAAAAAATATGAAAAGAGCATGGAGAGATTTGAAAAACTCATTCATTTGCATAGAGTCTACGTCGTAGAGATTACTACGATAAGGGAACACATTTTTTTTAGCTTAATCACAACTTACTAGTGTATTTTTGATTACCGTTCTTGAATAATCTGAAGCATTGTGGATGATATGATGTTCTTTTAAGAACAATTTGGATCATGAAAAGTTTACTTTTATCTTAAAAATGGTTTATAGTATAGAGCTTAGTTATTACATGTATAGGTACAACTTCCTCGGTATGATCAAGATTATTTTCATTTCTACTTACTTTGTTTGACTTCTATCTGCTTGTGTACTGAGAATTAATCAAGAACTGAAAACTATTTGGGTTTTAAGGTTAAGCGACGTTGACAAGATATTTTGATCTGTAAATTAAAATGACTGTAACCTAATTCTTCAAAAATACCTACTAATATTTATATACTGCCACGTCTAATTAGCCCAATTTTAGTTTTGACACAATTTCATACGAAAATACTAACTTCAATTTCGACCCCGCTTTATAAAAAAGCCCTGACTTTATATTTGACTTTATGTCTGACTTTAATTTTAATACTATTTTATAAGAAGAGTCTGGTTTAATTTTGACACAACTTCATCAGAAGAATCTAACTTCAATTTTGACAAATCTTCGTAACTCTTATTCGGTTGTATCACTCGTAATTCTGTCACTATTGAAGTAAACGATGAATGCCTTTAACGAATCAAACATTGCCCTAAAACTAAATTCTTCTTAATCCCGTGATTTGTTCACGTGCATCGTACACTGACCACGCAATCCCACGTCGCACTGTTTCATTACATTCCGCTAATATTCTCCCAGATTTTCCATATGTTTCGATATATTTATGTCGACCCCTTCACAACGGACTTAATCCGAGCATTCGTACACGGAAATCGCCATATTTCATGCATAAATCACTGAACACGTGTCACGTATATTCCGTATTGTTCATTCGATGTGCACGAGTCCTCTAGAAACAAAATTCTGTAGTTAGTAGATATATCAGCCCCATTACTGATGCAGTATATCTAAGTTAACCTCTTGCCTAATTCTTTTTATCCGAGACGTCGCTTTGAAAAATATCATAATATAATTTTTAACCTTTTGCACTCCAAACTTATTTCAATTATAAAATACATTTTGGATGCTCACTTTTTCCACATCTTTATTAACTGTATCTAAATCACTTCATTGATTTAAATAATAGGACGATACGTAAGAAGAATAATTGACATTAATGTAAATTGTTAATGTAAATTAAGGTGCTGACACTCATCGTTGGATTACAAAGGGTTAATAATTTCTCGTTCGTTAAGAAATCATTTCGTGTAGAATTGTATCCTGATTATTATTCTGCGTTACCTTAGGATACTTTGTTCTGTATAGTTTATTCGATTCGAGATAACTGGGGTTAATTCGAAAAAGTGTCAAAATAAGGAAAAAATGGTTATTCTAACCAATAATATAATTTTTATTACATGCAAATTTTAAGAAAGAATTCCACCTTAAATTGTATATATAATCTTAATTACATCTTTTAAAATGACATGCATAAATAAATAAATAAATAAGTAATCTATATACAAATAATATATAAGATACAAAATATAATATGATAATATTAATTAACTATCCAATAACAATCTATAACTCTAACTCCTGGGCACATTATTTACTTTCGCTACTAAGCTCGTGTAACATTTTACTATCGACAATTTAGAAGAAACACAAAAAGCTTTCTATTTGACTATAATTGCAAACTTACTTGGGAGATAACAACTTCATAATAACAAAATATCTTTCTCCGTTGATTTGTGTACAATGAACAATTCTGATTTCTATTCAGTTAATTTAGAAATCTGTATCACGAATAGTGATCAAATTTTCTGGGTGTAAGGCGCGTTCATTAGGAATTGTTTCCTATGACGTATCGCTAGCATTGCAGCTGGTATCATCAAAAGGTTTGAGGACCCAGGTAACCCAGAATCAGTGCTTCCTATTTAACACTAGGTTTACGGAAATTTTTTCTGCATTTTATACCATTGTTCCTAGAAAGGTTGATGTTCGTTCGTTTCGATCTTAGTAGTTAGAAGTTTAAAAGTAGACAATTTAAATACATATTCATGTAATTGCATGAATTAAAGTCGACGTGAACATTTACCAAATAATATTTATAAAATTCAAAATGCGTCAAATTGACACGTTCCGTAAACGTAGTGTTAATCATACTTGGCTCGGAGTTATGGATGAAAGATCACCGATCCGGTGTTCTTAATTGGTCAGCTGATCAATTAAGTCTTACTAATGATACAAATGTGGTGTCAGGCACAGCGGACGATATCAAAATGAAGAGCGACACCCCGTAGCGCAACCTCGGCATCGTCCAGACCGACGCGTTTTGACCATTTTTGGACGAAAAACAGAATTTATGTGTGTATGTGTGTGTGTGTACGTGCAGAGGCTGCAAGACTCAACGCATTTTTACGACTAGGCAGTCAAAAGAAAGGCGCGAATAGATTTATGTTTATATTCCCTATTTCCTCTTTAGTGTAACCATTTTCCTTGTAAACATATATCAATATATTATTATTCCATATTTATATAAATATTCCCTATTTCTCCTATTTCCGCCATTTATATATAAATATTCTCTATTACTTCTTTAGTGTATCTATTTTCTTGTATATACTGTTCTTATTCTTCGCCCGTGAGTAATCAATTACATTTTTATTACATACAAATGAGTTAAAATTGGCGGCGCGCTCGTGTCAGACGAGTAAAATCGCGCGTAAAAACAGACACGCGCACAAAACAGGGTATATAATGCCGTTCGCTCGATTTTCAAGGAGATAAGTAGTACGAGCCATCACGAACCAGGACGGATTTTCGAAATCATGTGCAGTTACGAGTCGCGTGTACGCGCGTTCCGCATACGTGCACCGTAGCTGAATCGCGCTATGCATTTCATCCGACCCATCCTACATATTTACGTAGCTACCTGTCACCGTGATCCTCCGCGGAATTCTTACTTGATGCGAGTCCCAGCGCAGAATCCCCCAACCCCTCCACCGGCCGGGGGAAAATTGCAGTATCGTAACTGACAAACTTTCCGTTGCACCTCCATGCATGCACACTGTTGCACGTAAAGTGATTCCGCTGTGTTACTCTTTAGACGTGCGCGGGGGGTATCGTTAACTCTTTAAATAATTTTGCTATTCACCCCATGCTCTATGGTTTATTTCTTAACTGTGATCGATACAACTACTTTATCGTTAATAATTTATTAGGAAAAGGAAAAACATAGATATCTATTCAATGTTTCCGTTTTCTTCAAATGTTAACGATTGATAATAGAAAGGTAATATTTAATTTATATTTAAAAAATATAAGTAACACTAGGATTTCGTAAATTAAGTTTAAAACATTCCTCGCAAGTCTGGCATGATATTGTACGTCAAGGGGTTAATAAGTTACTGAATCCATTGTCTATATTCGATATGATATGTTACACCATTGTCTATATTCGATATGAAGTACAATAGTTGATAACAGAAGAATAATATTTAATGTGAATTCAAAAGAATTGAGTAATATTGAATTCTGTTTAAATTCTTTATCACGAATCTGATAAGTTATTATAAGGCATGGGGTTAAAGCCGCCACGGTCGAAGTGTCTTCGTCTGTTTCTTCTTCTCAACTGGATAAAATCTTCTGAATAAATGTGAACGATGTTAGTTAATTTGGAGTCGTATAAGGTGAATGTTTTTCAGATTTTTGTGGATTGTTTGTTGAGACACTTGGGGTGTTTGCATTTGTTTTGTGTGATGGATTCTGTATTTGTTGAAAATTGTATTGTTTTTGGAAGATTAGGTTGTGTCTTTATAAATATTCTCGAGATAAACGGTTTTCAGGACTTATAGCTATTGAATAGTTTCTTGGATCCTTAAATAGTGTATCTAATAAAAAGTTGTACAATACATTCTCCGTTAACACTTATACTCTTTTTTCTTCGATGTCTACTTTTCCTTATTTAATTCGAAAATTAAAGACTTTATTAAATAATAACATTAAATAATAAATCTTTTCTCAAAATAATTTCTTTACATAAATTCTAATCATTTTCCAGTAAATCAATCAAGCGTTGTTCGTCCATTTCAAGACGAAGACGACTAAAAATTTGTTCCTCGTCTAACATAAAATCATGCACGATCAGAGTGCACAGGAACAGATAAATGCGTTTTGGAGGACGGGTGCGAATATTGGTTACACGATATCGTAAAATTCACCCCCGTAGAAATCCTAACACCCGTTAATATAATGTGTATCTCTTCGCGAGATAGCACGCGAGCGCAAATGCAAATGTTAAGCACCGCTTAATTAGAAGAACTATTAAGGAATCTCGTTTCTCGGCTCGTGGGAAATCGTGATCACGATAAAAATGCTTAATGTTTCGCCTTGGGTTTATACCGCGTCGCATAAATTACCGCCGCCTTATTAATATACTTGAGAACGTTTCTCGCGTTTACATCGGATAGCTTCATTGTACCGCGTTAATTTATATACGCCGCGAGAGAATTAATTAGTTGCGTGGAGTGGCGTCCTCGCACTCCCATTTTCATCCCCCGTTCCACTCCCCCAGCGTGTAACGTAATACATGTCTGGTACGCGGCTCGCAATCGATGTCGTTATTATGTTGTATACGATCGTCGACGACACTTGATCATGCTAAACAACGTCTGTTTCCCTCTGTTTCAGGTAAGGATCGAAATTTCTCCAGTAATAACGCGGGTGAGTGTTCATCTAACAATATAACATTACCATCGCATGAGCGTTGTTGCTTCTCTAATGCAGAAATGTGACTTACAAATTTCGGTCCTCTCTAAATTCTATAGAAATCTTCTTGAAATTTCTGTTGGATTCGGCTGTTCATTGGTTGAATATTGAATTTCATGTAAATCACTATTTTCTTTCGCAATTAATGTAGATTGCAATGTGATCGTACTTATTTTTATTAACAGAAATTAGCGTCAATCAGAGAATCATGTTTAACACTTTATTAATCATATTTCTTCATTATTGTGATGCAAGAATAATGCGGATTTCTTTCTTTCCATTGTTATTCTAATGTTTGAATCTTCTCTTGTTTCTTCGATTAATATTTTATTTTATAATTAATATGTTTGCGTGTGCATTCTTATTTCAATATATTTCTAAGGTAACTACAGTTCCAAAGTATGGGATTATTTGTAATAGTTATAATTTATAGTAAAGAATAAAACGAAAAAATTATAAGAATTCTTTTAAAAATTATTATTCTCCGATAAAATGTGTAATCCGAAAATTTCGGGCTGCAACGTAATGAAAAGAAATTTCTTACATAAGATTCTAAATAAATAGTGCAATCGCATCAACGATTTTTCGAAATCAATGCGTTTTCTGAAATTCTGTGATGCTCAAAACCATAGAATGATAGTGTGCGATTTCCACAATTAAGAAAATATTTTTAAAAAGGCTAAAAATAAAAGGAAAACGTAAAAACGAAAAAAATAGGTAATCAAAAATAGATAATAGCACTAAAAATCGATTATAACGATGTTATGTGAAATATGAAATGACCGAGGATCAACAATTTAATCGTATTAAATCATTTCATCAGTAATGTAGCTTCTTCTTTTATTTAGTAACGTAAGTTTTAATGACATTTCGAAAATGTCTTCAAAAATTTAATCAAAAAATAGGAAAAGGTCGTACACAACGATGATCAATAATGTCAATCACTAATAAAACAGGTAAGCATTAATTTTTTATACTAGGAGTCAGCATAAAAGAAAAGACATTATTTAGGAGCTGACCTAATGCAATAAAACTGCGATGGGGTAAGAATATTACTTACATATTATTTACCATTGTTTTAAGAAATAAAATAATAATAATAGTAATAATAATGATAATAATCATAATAAAATATTAAGGTCTTATGATATTGTATGAACATTAACCCAAATCTAAACCAAATGACTGACTAGTGCGACCTTTGGTTAGGAAAGAAATGTGGTTCGTATAATACGTAAGTAGCTAGAATATTTCAGTATAGAATCAATGATTCATAAGTTCAATCTCTTCGAGAAACAATCGACACTGAATTCCTGTACAGTGTTTAATCGAATCGCAACGAGTTTAACCTCTATCATCGTATTACGAGCCGGTTCGGAGTCACCGGTTCCATCTCGGAGACAGTTTATTCATTCGTGGGGTTTCAACGGTGTCCGTACCAACGAGAAATCGATTTTAATCACGTTTGCCCTGGACGAACGAGAGGAAACAACGATGAAGAAATCCCGTCGGTTTATCTGTTATTTATTACAACCGTAATTCTAACATGACGATCCTGGAAATGAGCAGAGGAAGGGGTGAAGAATTGGAGGCGCGGCGGAATTTGTTGTTCACGGGTAGGAGTAGGTTTGGGCACGATAAGCGGAATCTATTCAAATCTACTTCGCGCTTTTCCTGTCTCGCGACTGCAATTTCAGCCGGGTAGATTTCCGTGCAACCGGGCATAAAAGATACGAGGAGTTATTGAATGAAAAGTGTTTTTGAACAATGTTGAATGTGTCACGCAATTGAGAAGGTGCATTGCTTCCGTTCGGTTAAAAATAGAAAACGAGGTTATAGTCGAGGATACGATGTATAGTAAGAACTACATTCTTGTGCATACAGTCTTTTTGCACGTGCAACGATGCATACAGTGCAGCTGCTCTTTTTGCAAACATTATGTAAATGAGGGTACATGTTTGTACTTAAATTGATTCTTCGAGAGATTTCGCAGTTGGGAATATGCATTAGGTTGCGACCTTAGAGATATTATTAATTTGTAAGTGATTCAGATTTTGAGCATTATATATATTTAAATAATATATGTACAATTTGATAGTTGTTTAATTACATTACTATATTTATTAATTCCAATAATTCTTTTTATATACGATAAATAATTTCATGTAAAGTTTCTTTTAAAAACTATTCTGGCTCCTTACCAAGTCAAGATGTACAACGTCCAATAATTATTCTTTAAAACTAATTTAAGACAAACAATGTTGAAACTCTATACACCTTTCAATTATAATACAATATTCAATTATTAAAATTTTGAATGGTTTCTGTTTCTGTTGCTGTTTATGTTTTACCATTGATTTATAATTCGGCAATCGTATAACATGCAGCCTGTAACAATTAACCCCTCAAGAGCAACATTGGTATAACGTATTTAGCTACGAATAATTGTTCACAGCTCAATTTTCATCTTTATATTAACATATGACACACATTTTGTTTAAAAATGGTACCCTAATAATATTTCAACATCCAATAAAATAATCTTTCTATTTTATTCTTTTAAATATGAAACTATAAGAGGAACGTCACGTTCAGAAGGATTACGGATTAACGTCCGTAGATTGTTAATAGTTTCTCTGCCGATATTCCGAAAGTAACATATCACTAGGACGCACATGAAAAGTATTTCAGAAAATGCACGTGGCCGTATCGAAAACGGTATCGGCGAGGAACGAACCGTTTAAACCCAAAAACGTCGGGTGCTGTGTAAGCGCATATGAAATGAGGAGTAAAAAGAGAAAACGTATCGACTATCCGGAGCATAAAATGGACCGGTTTCTTTCGACTCGGCGACCTCTTTCCAGGGGATCCTCTAATCTCTTAGAACCGCGCGGATGGTAGCGTAGCTAGCCCTCGGGCGGATACTTGGCCCTCTCCCGCCCTGCACCTATTCTTTCACGTTCCTTCGGCTAATACACATCGAAGGGAGGTCGAAGACGGTTATAGGTCGTGGTCCTGGTCCTCCTTGGAACCCGAGGATTACCAATGTGCAGCCTAATCAACCAGATTGCCTGCAATTTGCCGACCTTATCTCTCCACATCCCCGTGGCTCTCTTCTGTTCTTCCGCTTCCGCGAACGACAGCCGTTCGCGAAAAGAACTTACGTGCCCTCCTCCTTTGCCCCTCGTTCCTCTATCGAACTTTCAGATACGACCACGAACCGATTCGAGATTTCTCTACTCCTCGGCAGCCATCACGAATGAAATTTCGTCGCATGCCAATTTTATTTTAATGTTATTAGCTCACTCAACGACTGCCGACAGTAATTTTTTAGGGATTTATCGGACTGCTGGCAGTGATAATATTATTATCAGACATACCGGTTTTATCAGGTATAAAATTATTTTCTAGAATATTTCTTAGGATTAATATGTTTTTGTATTTGATGATTGCTTTTGAGGGTTGATTTACAAATAAGTCATTTGACAGTTTTTGATTGTTCAGCTTTGTTTGTCAAGTCCATTATACTGTGCGTTGTTCAATAGATGAGCTCTGAAAGAAATATGGGTCTAATTTGGTCAGAATTCATTTTTTCTTATCTCATTTTCGATACTAATTTGCTATTCGTCAATACGGTTACACGTAACCAGTCAACCATAAACAAACCACGCAGCAAGAAGTCTTTCTTGCTGCTGCACCATTCGGAGCTTATCTCTTGAGAAACGCACAGTAGGTGCAAAGTTATGAAATTACTCATCGAATAGAAATTTGTTGCTTTATATCACATTCACTGTGTACACTGTGTTAAAAGGAAAGTACAAGCATTTATATCTAATTACAAAATAATGACGCAATGAATTGATAAATTTTCTACTTGACGAATCAGCAACACGAACTCATTGTCACGTAATTAAAATTCAAGAGTATTCGTTTTACTGTCGCCCTACACGGGTGCATTTATTTCGATTGACGATTTCGCTATTTATTTTTGTATCCTTTTACATGATGCATGCTTTCTCTCAAGCATGAATTTTGTTACCTTTCAATACGAACTCGTATTTGGAAGAAGTTCCATTTCACAATTACGCGATTAAATTTCCATTGTTCAATTACTTTGGATCTCTTTTCCCGTTTTGTACCCTGTCGGCAAAACAGGGGATCCGTGGGCTACGCTGAAATTGAACGAACCGAATCAGATTTTTTCCTGCCTTGGACGTGAACCTAAGATCCAAGGAAGATTTCGGTGAGATTGAAGTACACTTAAATTCCTCTCTCAAAACTAACCCCCTGCGGCTCTCTCTCTCTCTCTCCCCCTCCTCGGAATCTCTCTTTTCCTTCCTTCATTTACATGTAACGCCTGCATAAAACGTTACTTATCTCGAGACTCGTTTTCGTTCCGACGACGTCATCTCTATCTTCTTTCTTTGCTAACCTTCAATTTCTTTACTGTTTACTTTGAGACCGAGCTTAGTATTTCAAAAGCACGAAGACATTATAAATATTATTTACATTCCTATTCAGCGAAAACTTGAAGATTAGTAAAATATATCTCTTTCTCTTTTAAAAATTAGATTTAAATGAAATTAATAAATCCACTTTTCTTACTTCTACAGATCAAAACTTGATTTGCTTTGTGGAAATATGATGTCTTCAAATTGCATGTTATTATTCAATATATTTCATTGTACGATAATCACTGTGTTAGATTCTCCTGTTGCAAAAAAATACAAGGTTGTTATTGTAGGAGAAAGAGAATTTTATTAGAAACAGTATAATTATTTTTTGACAACTCACAATAAAATACTAACTAAATCAAACAACGCACACACTATTTTATACTCACATGCTCTTGTCTCACTCACACACATTCTAGAACATTCTTTCATTACCATGCATTAACTTCACATATATTTGGAATATTCTAGATTCATAAAAAAGAATATTCCAATGCTTTG